TACCACAGACAAAATCCTGTCTCCAAGAAGTGCTTTCGCCTTCAGGATGTGTTAGTCATTCCCTATTTATTGCCGGGTTTTCCTATGCCCTTTTAATACATAGAAGGATGGGAGGTATGAAGGAATGAATTACTAAGACATTTAATCAGCAGGTGGCAAAAGGAAAAGGCAGCCAAAATGTAATGGAATTATCTGTGGGCAAAAGGATCTTTTTAAGTGGGTGCTAAGCTCTGTAATTGAAGGTGCAAGAGTGCAAAACTTAACGTTGGAAGGGAACCAGAAAGTGGATGTACTTAAGGTGGGGCACAGAGGAAAGGAGTTTTACTGCACATTACCAAATTTTATAATGCCTTCCTTGGGTCACTGTTAAGTGTCCAGAATTATTCTTCTTTAATGTGTAAAATAAAAGCGTGTTTAATGTGCCAGCACTAAACAGGTCCACGGGAAAGGCGAGTCTGCAAAGGACATCTCTGCTTTAGCACTCAGTACTTTGCCAAACAATGTTCCGTGGAAGACATGGAAAAAGCATCCTTCTTCTGAGGATTTCCCTATAAATGAGCATTCTAATTCCAAAAATCACCTTCAGATGTCTATTCTGAGCCCATTCATAGACTCCCCCTGCACAACTCAGCTCGCTGCCTGATTAGTGGTTGGCTCTGCTGCATGAACGTGCCAGGCCTTAAGTGACAGCACTTGGGGTTTATGAAAATATAGAGCTATTTGGGGGGGAAAAAAGAAAATAAAATCTGCAGCACTACAGAAGTGGTGATTTAGGACCTGCACTAAAACCTTCAGCTGCTGAGCAGGCTCCTGTGACCGTAAACATTCTCCCTCATACAGATGTTTCCCACAGCGGAGCCAAAGCGCTGCTGCAAGATGTCACCGGCGTAAAACACCCCTGTCAAAATTTTTGTCTCTCAGCTTGTCCCACGTGGGAGGGGAGAAAAAAAAATCAAATTGCTTGTCGTGGAGTGGGCTTTAGAAAGGCCACGACAACACGGTCGGTGTGGAAGCACTGACACAAAACCTTCCTGCAGCGAATCCAGGGAAGCCCCAAAATGCGGCCGCTTCTGCCAGCTTTTCTAACGTGGAGGGAAAGGGAAGAAGGGACTTCCCAAGTGTGTGTCTAGCCTTTGGAAAAATGGGATTTAGTGTTGTGCCGAGGTGCCTGCCCGCTCCCATTGTCCTGGCTGCTTTGGTTTGCCTCCCTGTACGTTCCTAAGCTTTTATCCTCAGGTAGGGGATCGTATCTTTTAAGAAGATTGCAGGGAATTAAGTCCCCTGGCTCTGCTCTCCCCTCTTCCAGGCGGATGACAAATTGGAGTGTGTTCTGTGTGGCAGCCACTGGAAATAGCTGAAGCCTGCAGAGGGTGAACCAGGATCCATAAAAATGTTCCTCCTGCTTAAGATGACAATTTATAATTTAACTGCAGCTCCCACCTTAATGAGGGCAGATTTACACGTGGTGCCATCCTGCTCTGCCTGGCTTTACAGCTGGGTTCTGGGCAGTGGGAACAGTGGGAAAAAGTGTGGGAACAACGCAGGGAAGCTGGTGACATCAAAGAGATCCTCAACATGCTCCTAGGATGTGTCTTAATTAACTAGGACATTTAAAAGTAATTAAAGCCTGTATGGCCTAGGAAATGAAAGATGATGCTCAGTAGGGAGATTTGTGTTTTTCCTCTCTGGAAGCTGGGAGCAGAAGTTAGTCAAGGAAGAAATTCAGCTGGGATTGAGATTTACAGGTAAATTAATAGAAGTAGCCCCAAGGAGTGTGGGTAAGTAGGAAAAAAAGGAGGGGAAGCAGGCAAGAAAATGGCCTTGTGGGAAGGGGGAAAACGAGAATATCTAAGACAGAAAACTTTCTCCTAAAATAAAAAGGTACCTGAAAGGTGATTTTTGCCCCCCTTTTTTTTTTTTTTTTTTTTTTTTTTTTTTTTTTTTTTTTTTTTTTTTTTTTTTTTTTTTATTTT